TTTTTTTTAAAGAGAGCAAGTGAGGGGCGGACAGAGAGAGAGAGAGAGGGAGAGAGAGAGAGAGAGAGAGAGAGAGAGAGAATTTTATAACATTTATTTATTTTTTCTTAGTTCTCGGCGGACACAACATCTTCGTTTGTATGTGGTGCTGAGGATTGAACTCGGGCCGCACACATACTAGGCGAGCGCGCTACCGCTTGAGCCACATTACCAGCCCCTAAAGGTAGAGTCTTTAGGAGATGGGGTATAGTGGGAGAAAATTAGGTCATTAAGGTGTGCCTTGGAGGAGACATTGGGACACTAGTCCCTCCTGTTTCTATCTTTACTTCCTGGCCACCATGAAGTGAACATCTTCCTCTACCATGCATTCTCTCCATGATATACTGCTTTACCACAAGTGGGGCCAAGAGACCACAGATAGAAACCTCCAAAATTGTGAGACAGAATAAACTTTTCATCCTTTTAAATTGATTATCTCAAGTATTTTGTTACAGCAATGGAAAGCTAACACATGTGCTGTCCATGGGGAGCTCGGAAAAACTCTGACATGTTCTTGAGAATGTAAAGGCCACATACATAACTCTGTGTATGACTGGGAGAAACCTGAGAAGGTGCTCATCTCTCACCACCTAAAGTGCCTTGGCAAAGGCTGGAAGACATAGTGGCTTAAAGTGTTTAAGGAAATCTCTGTCTAGCCATTAGCAACCCACTGAGCAAACCAAAGACAGACTTTGGAAATTGAACATGATCTAGAATATAGACTTTATAGAATTAGTCTAGCAAAGTCACCAAGTAAGCAAAATAATAAACTTGGTGAAAGGGAGGAGGAATTCTGGTTTCCAGAGTTCACATCTATTATTTAAAATGTCCACTTTCCAATTAAAAAATATGAGGCACGGAAAGAAACAGGAAAGTATGGTTTATACAAAGGGGCAAAAGCAATCCATAGAAATTATATGAGGCACCCCAGATGTTGCACTTATTAGACAAAGACTTTAAATCAGCTATTATAATTATAAATATGTTTAAAGCACTAACTGAAACCATCTCCAAAGAATTAAGGCATATGAAATAGGAAATATGAATAAAAATACAGAAATTATTAGGTAGAGTCAAATAGAAATTCTAAAATTAAAAAGCATGAAAATGAAAATGAAAAATTCACTGATGGAGGGGGGGCTCAATAGCAGATGTGAAGTAGCAATTGATGATCTTGAAGATAGTTTAATGGAGATTATCCAGTCCAAGGATTAGAAGAAAAAAAATGAAGAAAAGTGAAGCGTTTCAGAGATCTGTGGGATACCATCAAGCCTACCAACATACACATAATTGGAGGTCCTAGAGGAGAGGAATGGAGAAAAGAGTCAAGAATATTTAAAGAAAGAATAGCTCAAAACTCCCCAAATTTCTTTCAAAACCTTAATCTACACACCCAAGTAATTCATCACACTCTTAGTAGAATACAATCAAGGAGAGTTGCTGCTAGATATATCAGAGTCAAAGTTTCAAAATATAAAGAGAGTGTTCTGTGCGATCCAGCGGCGGCGGCACCCTGACCCCGACCCTCAGCCCCCAGACTCTGCCTGCATTGCAGCCCCCCAGCCTCTTACCAGTCGGATGTGAGAGCCTGTGATTAAGTAAGAAATCAGGTCTCACTGGAGACAGACGTTCAAGCAAAGGGTGGACAACCACTTTTCCAGAACAAAAAGGAAACTCATGCAAAGAAAAGGTGACTAATAAACATACCAAAAGAATATGGCTGCACAAATACCTGAATCTGATCAGATAAAACAGTTTAGGGAATTCCTTGGAACCTTCAATAAACTTACAGAAACCTGCTTTTTGGACTGTGTAAAAGACTTTACAACAAGAGAAGTAAAACCTGAAGAGATCACCTGTTCAGAACATTGCTTACAGAAATATTTAAAAATGACACAAAGAATATCCATGAGATTTCAAGAATATCATATTCAGCAGAATGAAGCCCTGGCAGCCAAAGCAGGACTCCTTGGTCAACCACGATAAAGAGAAATCCTGATGGATGGACTTTCAATGAAAGATTGCCAACAGCTGTTGCACTGGAAATGAGGATTCATGTGATGGAATCCCCTGAAAGCAGTAGGCACCATGTTAAACCACCTGTCGTGACTCTTTGGCAATGGAAACCAATGAAGAAACAACATCGCTGTTCACCAAGAATAATAAAATAGAAGATCTTATTGTTCAGAGAAAATAATAAGATACATTTGTTGAGGCCTTAAGATTCTGCAGCTTGGTCCTTTGATTAGAAAAATAAACCATTATTTTTTCCATTGTGACTCTTAATTTTAAAGCAAAATATGTGTCCAATCATGTATGAGATAGAAAAAATTTTATTCTAAAAGTGAAATAAATGGAAATATCACTAAAAAAAAATATAAAGAGAGAAACTTGGAAACAGAAAGAAAAAAGGTAACTCTCCATATACAAGCAATCCTTAGTAAGTTTCATGGTTGATTTCTCATCAGAAACCATGGAGGCCAGAAGGTAGTGGGATATCAAGTTCAAAGTGCTGAAAGAAGAAGAGAGTCAACCAAGAATTGGATATCTAGCAAAATTATGCTTCAAAAATGAAGGAGAAAGAAAGACATCCCCATATAAACAAAAACGGAGAGATTGTATTGCTGGCAGATTTCCCCATGAGAAAATACTGAAGGGGAGTCCGGGGTGTAACTCAGTAGTCGAGAGCACGCTTAGTATGTGGCATGCCTTGGGTTCAATTCCTGGGACAGAAAGAAAAATATGGAGAGAGAAAGGAAAGAAGGAAGGAAGGATGAGAGAGAAGGAAAGAATAAAGGGAAGGAGGAAAGAAGGAAGGGTGGTTGGAAGGAAGGAAATGGGAATTCTTATAGTCACTAGACAGTAGCACAGATTCACACAAATAAATAAAAGGCACTGATAAAGGTAACTATCTAGGTAAATATTAAAAAAATATATAAATATAGATTTTTCTTTATTGTAAAAGCTTTCACATCTGATTTAAAAGACACTTATATGCATAAAGCAATGCTTATAAAACTGTGTTGATGGGTTTATAGCACATAATGATGTAACTGTAATAACAACTGCACAGAAGATGGAGAGGAAACAGTATTGTAAGTTGTATAAAGTTTCATATAGTACTGAAGTTAATTTGGCATTGCTTCAAACTAGATTGTCTTAAATTAAGATATTATTTATAATCCCCAGGCACCCACTAAGAAAACAAATGTATCTACGCAATGAAATGATAAGAAAATTAAAATGACATACCAGTTTGCATTTTTTAAAACAGGTGATATTATTTTTATATGACTTTATTTTATTTAATTGTTTTTATGTGGTGTTGAGGATTGAACTCAGTGCCTCATACATGCTAGGCAAGTGTTCCACCACTGATCTACAAACTGCAGCCCTAGATGGTATTTAACATAAAAGACACTAATAGAGGAATAGAACAAAAATGTCAAAATATATGTAAGAAACCAAAGAGCAAAATTAAAACATAAATCTCACCTTATCAATAATCACATTTAACGTAAATGGACTAAACTTTTTAATCAAAAGAGAAAGAATAAATGCAGAAAACATGATCCAACTATATGCCTTCTTATCATAGACACACTTAAGATTCCAAGACAAATAAGTTTAAAAAAAAAAAGATGGATAAGTATATACCATGCAAACAGTAGGCAAGAAAAAGAGCTGAAGTAGTCATTCCAATATCAAAAAAAGCAGACAAATTGTTACTATTAGTCACAAAAATAACATTTTATAAAAGACTGAATCCAGCTGGGTGTGGTGGCGCATGCCTGTATTCTCAGCAGCTGGGGAGACTAAGGCAGGAGGATCACAAATTCAAAGTCAAACTCAGCAACATAATGAGGCCCTAAGCAAATCAGTGAGACTCTGTCTCTAAAGAGACAAAAAGGGGCTTGGGATGCGGCTCAGTGGTTAAGTGTCCCTGAGTTCAATCCCCAGTACAAAAAAAAAAAAAAAAGAGTTGATCCATTTAATAATTATAAATGTATATGCACTCAATAACAAAGCTCCACATTACACGAGGAAAAAACCTGTTTTGTATTGAACAGAAACTTGTCTTCTCTATTGATTTTGCTCTTTGATCTTATTTCTATTCTCTGGACTCTCACACAATATAAATCTAACCCCTCTATGACTAGAGTTTTTCAAACACGTGAAGTCAACTCTCATGCCTTCCCTTGCTTTCCATTTTTATGTGCCTTTGGCCCTAGACAATCTTTCCTGGAATGTGATGATAGTCTTTTGTAAAGAAGACAAATGCAGTGTTGGGAGAGGAAACAAATTTCACAGAATTTCAGAGTTGGAAGTTAACTGAGATGCTCTTATTTACACCTTTACTTTTGCATCTGAGTAAATGGCTGCCCAATGTGGTCAGACCACTGAGCTGGTTAATGCAAGAACAAGATCCGTAACCTCGGTTTCCAGATTCCTCATTCAATGTTGATTCTGACATTTTCCTCCGTGATAGTCTCCCTTTCTTTGTTTTGCTGGTTGGGTTTTTTGTTGTTGTTGTTGTTGTTGTTTGTTTGTTTTTGTTTGGGTTTTGGTGTTTTTCTTAGAGAGGGAGAACATGACTAAGTAACTTTTCTTTCTTCAGTGACACCTGGTATTTTTCATCTCAAATTTGCTATAGAAGAGGGAAGAAAAAACAAAACAAGAGGGCTGGGGATGTGGTTCAAGCGGTAGCACGCTCGCCTGGCATGCCTGCGGCCCGGGTTCGATCCTCAGCACCACATACCAACAAAAGATGTTGTGTCCTTCTGAGAACTAAAAAATAAATGTTGGAAATTCTCTCTCTCTCTCCTCTCACTCTCTCTTTTAAAAAAAAAACAAAACAAGAGTATCAGAAGAACCTACGTGGATTCTTATCTTTGGGAGCAAGTAATCAACTTCTGAGTCCTTGGATAAAAAGTTTCAAGAAAAAACAACTTATTTTCTACCAATAAATCTTGTACTTTCTATTGAGCATCTCTGTTTATAATGCACTATGCCAGACATCTTGTTATCTTTATTACTATGTTTTATTTGTTTGTTTTGAGGGGGGGTTGTACTGAGGATTGAACTCAGGGGAACTTGGCCACTGAGCCACACCCCCAGCCCTATTTTGTATTTTATTTGGAGACAGGGTCTCACTGAGTTGCTTAGCACTTCGCCATTGCTGAGGTTGGCTTTGAACTCTTGATCCTCCTGCCTCAGCCTCCTGAGCAGCTGGGATTACAGGTGTGTGTCATCACGCCTGGCTAGTATGTTCTTAAGATGTCTGAAGTTTCCTCTTCATCACCCCCTCCTTTTCCTGAGCTGGCAGTGGTGAAGGAGCCATAGAATAATTTTTGTAGACTTGTCATACTGTGAACTCCTGGACTTCTGCAGTCTTCTTTGACCTTTCCATTTGCCACGGGTCCAGGATCATATTTGCAGCCCAATTCTCTCTTTAGAGTCTCCCATTGGTCTTTGATTCACTCTGATGACTTCTTATTTCACCTATGGATCTAGAGAAGTCAAATTACTGGGGAAAACTCCCTCAGCTCTACTCGGAACCCTTGACAGTCTGTCTGATCCCGCTCTCTGTAATCCTATTGTGTCATAGTTTCCACCTCTGAAATTTCACTTGATATGATTTTCCCCTTGCTTCAGACCTACCTCAAGCCCTACCTTCTCATCATCATCGCAGCCTAGACAAGTGCTCCTCCGTTCTGATTTACCCAGCAAGTATTGTTGGCATTGTATGTCAGGAACCACCTCAGAACTTATGTGTTGGCATAAGTTTGGTGGTATAAATCCTGGCTCTACCATGCATTAGCAGGGCAACCTTTGAACCTAGAGAAGTCAAATTACTGGGAAAAACTCATCTCTATGTGGAACCCTTGACATCTGTCTGATCCCGCTCTCTGTTATCCTACTGTGTCATAGTTCCCACTCTGAAATTTCACTTGATATGATTTTAACCTCTCTGGGAGTTACTTTCTTCAACTATCAACAAGAGATGCTAGTAGCACCCTTCCTACAGTGTAGGGTTATTGTTAGGTTATAATAACATAATAATCTGTATAAAGGCAAATTGCACAGTGCTTGACACGTGAAAGAAGTGCTTAATAAATTGAATTTATCACCAAATGTAGGGCTGAGCCCTAATGACCAGGTTAATCAACATAATCTTGTCTATCAAGTGAGAGTGACTGACGAAGAGTTGGGGACATGAACTTGACTCCCTCAGAGTGACTTGCAGGACTGCAGTTTGTCCTGAGAACAAAGTTGACACATGTAGCGAGGCAAAACTGAGAAAAATCAAAGGAACTGGACCCAGCGGCTTAAGCAGCACCTGACCTCTGGAATTTTCCATTGCTTGAGTCAATTAAAAATTTTAGTCAATAAGCTACTTCATTAGTTTTTTTTATATCATTTATAACTGAAAATATCCTAACTGATATTCTATTTATTACTATTAGTACCTTCCCAGGTATTTCCAGCCTTCTGCCATTATATTATCACGTCCTTGACAACCAGAACTCTTACTAAGCTTTGCGCTGCTGTGCCATCTCCCACGGGGCTGGCACGTGGCAGGCTTCTTCATTTCTGCTTCATGGTGGGATATTCGTTTCCTCCTGGTACCTGTGGATATGGAGCATGTTTGAGGAGAAGGAAGAGAGGGCCAGAGTCCCAGACAGAGTGACCCCGTCCTGCTTCCTCGTCTTCTCACTGGACTACAATGATGGGAAAGTAAAATAGATGTAGATATCTATATCTCCATCTGGAGATGTTGGGACGGGACCCAGGGCATCCCGCGTGCCAAGCTCATGTTCTGTGCTGAGCCGCGTCCCCAGCTCCTCTGGGTGCTGTTGTTACGCCCCATGTTACCTATTAGAAACTGGTGCCTGGAGAGATCTCACAGCTTCTATCATGATTGAAGAGCCTACACTCAAATTACTATCGCCACATCTTCAACTTCACATTCTACTTTAAAGAAAATGAAACTGGAAATCTTACATAATGCACGATGAGTGTGGCTTACACATGAAAGGTAATGGAGAGCGCTAATCAGCAGACCCATACTTAAAAATAGGCTTTGGCCTGACATCAAGAAGTTGATGAATATGTGTGCATTAGCCAGATAAAATGTTTAAGGTGTGTTTAATTTTTTTGTAATGGTTTCTCATTTCTCATTCTCATTCTTATTTTCAGATAACCCACCACCTTCTCAATCACCTTAGGGAGATCTTTACTCTTGGCCATTTTTTTTTTCCACATGAAAGTTGAAAGACTTAATTAAGCAGGAACATGCCAGACATCTTGTTCTGTGAGTTGATATTTTTCAGTTCACAATAACCCTCTTTTTGTGCAAGTACTTGTGGATTTACTTGACTCATTGCAAGCACAGATTGCTTTCCAATGGTTAGGATGTATCAAGATTTAATGACTTCCCAGGATGAGTGGGCACTTGGGTGCCATCTCTTACCAGTTGTGTGCTTTTTAAAGTAACATTCCACGGAGCATCACGGGGTACTCGCTTTTTGGTGTATTTGGGTGTCAGTGGGGGAAGAAAAATCTCAAGGTCCTGATTTTTTTTTCTTTTTGTATCCAGGATTGAACCCAAGGGTGCTTCACCACTGAGCCACATTCCTCACCCTTTTTTGTATTTTATTTAGAGACAGGGTCTCACTGAGTTGCTTAGGGCCTTGCTAAGTTGTTAAGGCTGGCTTTGAACTTGTGACCCTCCTGCCTCAGCCTCCACCATGCCCAAGGTCCTGATTTTATTAATCAAGCAGTCCAAGAAAGAAAATGAGCATCTCAAGAGCCCCTTCT